GAGCGCTGTCCAAGACACGCTGTTTCGCCCGCTGACGTCGGACCAGCGGGCTTTCAAGGCGGAAGCGCTGCAGAGCGCCACTCTTGCCGCGCGGTTACGGCTACACCTGCGGGCTGCTCAGTTGTACGACGGGGAAACTGTGCACAGTTTCCGCCGTGGTGCCCTGCAGGCCGCTGCGTCGGCCGGTGCGGGAGTTCCCGCCCTGATGGAGTTCAGTCAGCTTCGGACTCCGGCGGTGCTGGAGCGATACCTTGATCCTCATCGTCACGACCGCAATGTGCGGCCCCGCAACTGAGTGCCTGCTTCTCGCCTTAGCGGGTCTTGCGATTGCTAGGACGATTTACTTTAGATGCCGGGGTCTCAGGGCGTTACCTCTAGGGGGGTTGGTTGTGTGGTCTTGTCGCTCGCCCCACCCCAAACTACACCAGGGGGGGGAAAGGGAGGGGTGTAGTTTGGCTGGCTCTTGGTTGTCTCTACTCGCTACCTTAGCGAAGAGACGTTAAAATGATATTGAGAGAGAGGGACTGAATTGCGCAGATGCTCGGTATGTTGGAGTTCACTTGCTGTCGTACCACCGTTGTTGCGAGCATTTAAGTCTCTGTAAAGGCGCGACTGAAGGCGCTCCTTGCCTTCGTCGGGATTTAAGCGACTAATAGCGTCTTTGTCATCTTAATTCGTGCTAGTTTTGAGCAATGGCTGATAAGGAAAACTTGCAAGCATACTGGGTCGACCGACCCATCATAACAAGCAGCGACCGACGGACCAGTTAGACACACCTAGAAGAGCGACAAGTCATCCTTGTGAATGGTTCATTGCAATGAAGCGAAGGCAGAGCACCCGTCTCAGAGCCGGACCAAGTCCATCGCATCTGACTTTCCGACCTTGTTGTTTGACTTGCTTGTAGTCGGCACCGGCGAGGCGCGTGATTGAACGCGACGGGGAGGAGATGGATCCCCCAGACAGACCGGTGAGTGGTTAGAGCGAGAGACCAGGGGGTAAAGATCACGGCAGCGCGCACCCGTGCACTCGGATCCCAAAACGCGACGCAATGCGAACTCGGCAACGCGAGAAGGATTACGTTTCCGTTTGGCGAGGAAGTACACCGGCAGCGAAGATAAACGCACTCTGCTCGACGAATTTGGACATAATATGTCGCGCGTAGAGGCAGAGACCGAACCCCCACGACCCCAACCCTAGCGACGCGGCGGCCGAATTTCTCTCAGCGACGCGAAACCGAGACACGCAGTAACGCCCCACTTGACCACCTTAGGGATTAGGGAGTAACCTTTGGCGGTACTCTTATGCGTGACGAAAGTCGACCCCCTTCGCGTTTCCTTCGGGAGCTGCTGCCACCTAGCGTTAGAGGTCACCCCTCCCTTAGCGACGGCGGCAGGTTTCACCTAGAGAGTTAGAAGTCGGCACCCTTAGAGGGTTGGGGCCGATTCCATAGCGAAGGGGAGACTGACCCTCCTAGCGAGCAAGGACGGATTCCTTAACGGGTAGAAGCAGATGTCCCCTAACGAGTGGGGCTGATCCCCTTGAAGGCGGACCCCCCAACGATTTGTGGCTGACCACTTGGCGAATTAGGGCTGACCCATAGCGAATTGTGGGCCGATCCCCCTAGAGAGTTGGAGCCGATCTTCTAGCGAATTGGAGGCCGATCCTCCTAGCGATTCGGGGCCGACCCCATAGCGAATTGGAGACTGAACCTCCTAGCGAGTTGCGCTGACCCCCTAGCGAAACGGAGGCTGATTCCTCCTAGCGAGTTGGGGCTATTCCCCTAGCGTTATTGGAGGCTGATCCTCCTAGCGAGTTGGGGCTGACCCCCTAGCGAAACGGAGGCTGATCCTCTTAGCGAGTTGGGGGCTGACCCCCTAGCGAATTGGAGGCGGATCCTCCTGGCGATTTGGGGCTGATCCCCGAGCGAATTGGAGGCTGACCCTCCTAGTGATTTGGGGCTGACCCCCTAGCGAATCGGAGGCTGATCCTCCCAGCGAGCTGGGGCTGATCCCCTAGCGAACCGGGGCTTATCCTCACAGCGATTTGGGGCTGACCCCCTAACGAATGGGAGGCTGACCCCCCCTTAGCGAGTGGGGCTGACCCCTAGCGCATCGGAGACAGACCCTCCTAGAGAGCTTGGGGCAAATCGTCCCCTCCAGCAAGTTGGCAGCATCACTTCCCAGCGAGCCAGGCGCTGACCATGTTAGTGACCGGAAGCCGACACCCCAGCGAGCCAGAGACCTCATCATAGCGAGTCAGAGGCAGACCAGACAATGTCCGGCGGAATCCTTACACGATTTGCGCCAAGATATCCGGCGACCTAGACTCGGCATCACGAGATATTATCAATAGCGAGGCAAGGCGGAGACCTAGACCAAACCCGCGGCACCTCCACCATCTTCCGTCCCTACAGGAAACTGACATGCGCGCACCACAACTCCTACCACCGGACCAACAAGCAGCCACCCAGGGACCGGATTCGGGAAATTCCCGCCAAGCCGAACCCCTGGGAGTGCCTCGCGGCCTAGGGGGAGGGTCACCCCTGCGCATGCCGTCCGTCCAGCTGCTGGGATCGCCGACGGCACGTTCACCAGCCGCCAGGCGACAGCGTCTAGATACCCCGGGAAGAGCGCAAGCCACAGGCGCGAGGGCGGCGGTCGACCTCCTCACCGCGTGGGAAGCAGCGACATTCCAGGCCGACCGGAACCCTACCCCACGGGACCTGTTTGGCCTGAGAACCCTAAACCCACTAGCGGCGCCACCAGCAGGTCAGCCCCCGGCGACGGCAGATGAAGACCTTGGGGCAGCGGGCTCCCAGCCATCGGCCGCAGACGCAGCAGGGCGGCAAGTCCGGCGACTGGTGCAAATCAACCTATGCCACCAGATCCTCCACCAGCACGGGCTAGAAGGGCTGCTGGCG